AATAGGCTCTCCGACAGTATGACATCTGTTCATGAAGGTGGTCCCTCTCCTGAATTCAGTAAAGAAAGAATATGAGTACATAGGGGGATGGGTAATTTGAGGTGAAGGAATTTACAGTGGGTCATTTACATAAGAACTGGTCCAATCCTAACAGATGAGCACTGTAGTAGTCCCTGTATTAGGTGATGAATTTATAATTTTACAATTTAGCTTTTCTGTGTAAGATATTCTCTAATGTCTGTGGTTTTACATGTTGCTTTAAGATACTACAAAAAATCAATCTATACAGGTCTTTGGGGGGTCTAGAGAAGGGGCATGGTTTATAAACAAATATTGTTGATAAGGCCTTCTCTAAATACTTGTAATTAGTATATGAGGGACTGGAGGCTGTGGGAAGTGCTTAGGCTTAGGACCTTGATTAGAGTCTCACCTCTGCCAAGTTATTTTGTCTTTCCAAGACTTTAATGATTTTATTTGTAAAATGGGGATAATAACTGCTTGTCAGAGTTGTGACTGAATGAGGTATCATATGTATAAAGAATCTAGTGTCCTTTGTTTTACAGTCAGTCATGGCATATTTTGATTAAATAACTTATCGAAAGACAGCAATAGCACATGTCGCCACTAGCCAATAAGAATTCAAATCTTGGCATTTGGATTCATTAAGATTTTGTTTAAGATGTGTCAGTAAACAAGGGTCTTAAACAGTTAATAAACAGTTTATTTTTGTTATTTTGGGAGAGAGATCATGTAAGTGTATGTATTTATTAATGTATTAATATATTTAATACAAAACAGACCAAGATATATATTGTCTGGCCTAAATGTGTTGACTAGTATTTGTCCTTTGTTCTTTTGTAAGTACCACATTAAAAGTAATCCATCCCTGACCCAAACAGTACTGTATTTGAATTCTTCTCTGTTCTTTTAAAAAATATTTTAGGAGTCAATTCATGTTCCTGATCCTGTCATTTCAATAGCAATGAAGCCTTCTAACAAGGTAGGAGTTTGGTTTCAATCCGAATAAAAACTTGAGCTCTTTTTCATCTTTCTGCACAATGCACATAGTATCTTGTGATAACCAGCAATCTTACGGTCTCTATTTCTTCTTTTGGTATTGAGATCGCCTTCTAAAACTACCAGTCTCTTGGTAGTGATTAGTTCTCACTATACCTGAAAAAATTGATGGTATTAAAATGGGCACAAGACTGTGCTTTCTAACTCTTTATAATATCATTGGCTCCAAAGTGGTAAGAATATTTTCCTATGTTCAGATCATAAAGGAGTGGAAAAAGGGAAACAGGGACATTTATCCTAAGTTGTAGTAAAACCTCACAGGTCCCTTAGATTACTACATAGATTAATTGCCTCATGGATTATATTACATCTCTGGATTTGTGGCAGTTATGGAGTATAACATGGAAAGCCTGCAAACAAGACTTTTTCTCACTTTTTTTTTAAAAAGATTTTATTTATTGATTGAGAGGGAGAGGGAGCACGAGCAGGTGGGAGAAGCAGGCTCCCTGCCGAGCAGGGAACCCGATGCAAGGTCGATCCCAGGGCCCTGGGACCACGACCCGAGCCAAAGGCAGACACTTAAAACGACTGAGCCACCCAGGCGCCCCTCCACTTTTTTTTCTTTTAAAGTAGGCTCCATGCTGTGTGTGGATGTGGGGCTTGAACTCACAACCCTGAGATCAAGAGTCGGACGCTTAACCACCTGAGCCACCCAGGCACCCCTTTCTCAGTTTCAAATATAATAGTTTTATGGTTGGATTTGATGTCATTTAGCTTTTTATGGAACCAGAATTCCTTGAATAGGTTCTTACTCGCATTACTGCCATTAGAATTAGTTTGTATTAATGCCATATTGTTTGAGTTCTTAAATTGCTTTGACATTCATAACAGTCATGTTAATATGGTAAATTGAAACGGACTCATTCATGCATCGAGAACCACTTGTCATCTGGGAACTACTGTTTACAGAACATACTCTGATGTATTGTCTTGTGGGTACGTTAACAGGTACTTCCTCTATTTTGGGGAAATGAGCTTTTCCAGACCCTTCTTAGTATAGAAAAGAGAATGTTTAGGGAGCAAGAAACATTATGTCATTCCATCTCAGAAATTTGAGGAAAGGCAAACCTTGCATATTACCACACAGAGAAATGCCACAGTTCCAGGTGCTTTGCTAAATTGCTTGCTTTTCCCTTCCGAATAATCAGAGAGAGAAGTTAAAGATACTGTGCTTTTTCATTCCTAATTCAGAGTTTATGTAAGATATTTAACTGTTGATAGTTCACAACAGTGGAGGAAAATCAAAGGCATCAATATCTAAAAGGTTTTTTTGATGTTTCAGGCTTGTCTGTTTGCTGGAGTAAATTAATTTAAATCAAATAATGAAGTCATTGCATAAAGCTGTGAATCTCGATAGTGGGGGCAAGGATGATCTTCTAGTAAGTTGGGAGTACCTGGCTTATGTAGGGAAAAGGCAAAAACTTATAGACTAACCGAGGTTTCAGTCCCAGCTTTGCCATGCACTAGCTCTGTGGCCTTGGGCAGGTCAGTCAACCTTTCTAGACCTAGTTTCTTCCCCTGTGAAATGTGGATAATTCTGTCTTGCAGCATTGTGGTTAGAATTTGAGGTACACATTCAAAACATGTATATAGCACAGTTCCATGCACTCGTGATAACTGTTAAATACTGGTGATTCAGGGTGTGTTTGTTTTCTGTTGCTGCCATAAGAAAGTACCACACACTTGGCTTAAAATAGCACAAATGTATTATTTTACAGTGTTAGAAATCTGACATAGTTCTTACTCGACTAAAATGAAGATACAGGACTGTTCCTTTCTGGAGGCTCTAGGGGACATTTTATTTTTGCTTACTCAGATTGTTGGCAAAATTCAGCTCCTTGTAGCTGTTGGGACTGGGGTCCCCATTTCTTTGATGACTGTCATGTGGGGCCTGTTTTTAGCTTCTAGAAGCTGTCCATTTTCGTAGGCTTTGGCCCCATCGTCTTCAGTGCTATCAACCACACAGTCAACTCCTTTTGTGCTTCATATATCTTCTGCCTCGTCTTCCCTCGTTCCATCTTTCTAACTTAACCCTTCGGTTTTCCTCTTCCTTTTTCAAGGCCCATGTGATTACGTTGGGCCAACCCAGATTCTTCATGGTAATCTTCCCATCGCAGAGTCTATAAGTTTAATCATATCTGCACGATCCCCTTTATCACATGAAGTAACATTCACGGGTTTGGGGGGATTAGGGCTTAACTTAGAGGACCATAATTCTACTTACCACGTATGGAATTATATCTAAGGAGAATAAAGATGCATGCAATCACATCCAAGCAGGTTGTTTTGAAAGGGAGAAGTCTCAGTATGACATTTGCCTTACTCTTGGTCTTAACCGTCCTGCTTGAATCTACAATCACATCTTGGTAAACATGCTGATTCCTGTGATTATGTATAGAATTTCTAAAATGTAATAGAGTAACAAGGATTATTTTTCTTCATTGGAGAAAGTTTTCCACAAATGGATAGTTTTCCACAAATGGACAGTTTCTATGTATATCCAAGAATAAAATAGGAAAGGACATAGTTAAGCCTTAGACTCTTGTATCTTGTTGTGGAAAGAAAATTCTGTCAGCCAACCGTTCCCTGATGTCTTGACTGTGTGTTGTCCAAGCTCACATATTGAAAGGGTATGTATGGCCTAGGGACTAGATGGGGATCATTGTTATTTCCTAACTGTTAAGGTACTTGACTTCATTTAGTAAAGTTCTTTCAACAGCCCCATTACTTATCATGCTTACTAAAATGTGTAATGACTTTCTTTTTTTAAAGAATGATCTGGAAAAATTTTCAAAAGGTATTGGCAGGTTTACAAGAGAAGATCCCACATTTAAAGTCCACTTCGACACTGAGAGCAAAGAGACAATTGTATCTGGAATGGGAGAATTACACCTAGAAATCTATGCTCAGGTAATGAATAACAAGGAAGTTAACTTAAATTCATTTTATTTATGTCTGTGTTTTGTTACAAGTCAGTAACTCTCAGTCTAATGACTGTAAACTAATAGTGGTTCTTCAGACTTCATTCTGGCTTATATCCAGATGTGGTATACTGTGTTACAAATGTTACTGTCTCTTACAGATTAATTATTTTTGATTTCTAAATCCTTTTATTTGTAAAACATTTGCAGACTCCTAGAATCAAGACTCCAAGTATTTGCAGTAAGATCATCCATCCATCCCTAGGTCGTGGTTAGTTGGGTCAAGCAAATCCTGGTCTCAACCTTAGGGAGACAACCTGCAGGGAGAGACCTGCTGGGGAAGTTGGCCCACCAGTGCCCACTCTTGAGGCCATTTCTTGCCTGTTTTCTTCTCAAGTTAGTACTTGAAGATCATTAGAATTTAGATAATAGAAAGAGTAGATGGGCTGTATTTTCCCTAGGAAAGGTCTTCTGTATCTATGAATGAAAATGAAAGCTATTTGACTTATGATTAAAAATTCTGGTTGTGATCATATTTTTGAAGTTAAGGTAGTAGAAAACTCTGACGACAGATTCATAGGCTATTCCAGAGAATATGTAATAATATGAAACAAGGGTGAAGTTTTAGTGGATAGATTAATTAGAGGTAAGTAAAAGTTAAACAGTCTAAATTAGAATTCATTTATATAAAATCTCAAAGTCACTTGTATCACTTAATATCATGTATCTAACCTTTGTAAGATAACTTTGTAAAGATACTGATTTAAGATTTATCATTTTTTATCATATTTAAATGAGTGCTTCAAAGGTAGTTAAGATTCTTATGATTTTTCTTCTTTCAGTTTATTTTTTTAAGTATACCAAAAAATTAACTCCCCTCTTCTTTTTAGCGGATGGAAAGAGAATATGGCTGTCCTTGTGTCACAGGAAAGCCAAAAGTTGCTTTCAGAGAGACCATTACTGCCCCTGTCCCGTAAGTATGCAACACAATTAAACATACTGTGAGGCCAGAATTGAAGCTTTTTATTATGGGATATACACACCACTTTTACATCATGATAGTTTCTATTAGGGAATCTGTATCGTTCTATACTGTAATGAAGACATTTATACAAAGTGACATTTTGGGATTTGCTCGGCCCCATAAACTAGGTATTGATGAAGACTGGCATACACACATCATTGATAAGCATGTTGACTCGTCAGTGTTAGGGTCTTCATTTATTCCAGCTGTGCTTCCTTTGGGAGACGGCTATTATGTTTGACTTTAGTACCATATTGTGGATGCCAGAGAACTTGCATTCGCCAAGGAATCATCTCCTGCAAGGAAAGGAAACTAACGCTGTAATAAAATTCAGAAAACATTTAAGAAAACAATGTTGGGTTTAGATTTTGTTAGCGACAAAACAGTCCTTACAAAGAACAACAAAAAAGTTAAATGGCTACCAGTATAATATACTTCAACCTGGTGTCTATATTAATTTACATGAATTCTGATTTAGAGTCAAAATTAATAAGGCATACACTGTGGCTATAAAACATGTCTCAATTTTCAAAGTGTCATCAAATAAAGGTAAATGATACTTTACCTGAGATGCAATGTCATGAAGTAGAATGGTGTAGTCTAACTCAATGAAGTCATCATTTCTTTGCTATCATAAAAAATAAAAACCTGGTGTTTGAAACTTAGTATCTTTGGAAATAATGATACGTTCATTTTAAAATTCAGCTTTCGTTACTAGATGATGATACTTCCAGTTAATAAGTAAAAACAAAAATTGAATGTTATAATTTATTTAGCCTGATCAGAAAAACTGTGTTCTTGGGGCGCCTGGGTGGCTTAGTCAGTTAAGTGTCCAACTCTTGGTTTTGGCTCAGGTCATGATCTGAGGGTCGTGAGATGGAGCCTGCTTGAGATTCCCTCTCCCTCTCGGTCCCTCTGCCCTTCCTACCCCCCCAAAAAAGAAAAACTGTGTTCTTATAAAAAAGTTTTCTTTCAAACTACATTTTAAAATCGTGATTTTTTTCACCTGTTACTCTAAAAGTTGTGTACCCTTTTTAGGTTCTGAGTTGTGATAGCTGCGTCAGAGCATTATGATCTAAAGTTTGTCATTTAAGATTCCTGAATGTTTCCATTATTCAGAAAAGCATCATTTTAAGGGATAAACTACTGAAATGAGTGTTTACATTAAAGGGAACCAATTTTATAATAGAAATTCTCTTTTTAAAAACAAAGTAGGAAAACATAATGAGTGTAGTTATATGGTTTTGCAATTAAAGCTTTCATCTGTACTTATTGTTTTGGGCATATAAAGTATTTATACCACCAGCTCCACAGAAATACTGCATCCACATAGTTTAAAACTACATTCACCAGAGATTTGCTGTACAAGGTTTTTTAAGGCTTATAATCAATGTGTTGCAACAAGCCCTGGCCTCTGAGGGGCAGCATGAGCTGCTGTGTCCCTTTTGGGTAATAGCAGTAAACCTTTCCGCTGAAATTTTAATAATGCTTTAAAACTTTGATGAAGGATTATAGGAGTTTTCTGTCATAAAACTTCTAGCACTGTCTTGAGCATATTTTGAAAACCATGATTATGATTGTATAACCTCTGTAATCTGGCCCTGTTACTCGATTATTTGAGCCTTAGTACCCCAACAGGAATTTGTAACCAAAGTTGATGTCTACAGAAATGCATTTAAAAAATCCTCTGTTGGGATACCTGGGTGGCTTAGACAGTTAAGCATCTGACTCTTGATCTCAGCTCAGGTCTTGATCTCAGAGTTGTGAGTTCAAGCCCTGTGTTGGGTTCCACGGTGGGTGCAGAGCCTACTTAAAAATTTAAAAAACAAAAAAAGGGCTCTGTTTCTTAAAATGTTGTTGTGGTATTTATGTTAGGTATTGGCATCATATTCTACCTATTGTGATTGGGTATCCTGCCCTCCAGTGCCCGTAGGTGTCTAAGAAGTGGTTGCAAAAACCTGTGGAGTAAAGGTGCTCCAGCTTGCAGTTTGTTTCCAGCAAGCTGAAACAAGTCATTTGGAAAGTCCTTTCCTCTTAAAAAACTAAAACTGTTTGTTGTGGTTTCTTTGCACTGTTTTTCTACATATCCATGAGATATCAATGGTTGACTTTTTTTTCTTTCTAACCTCTTAATAAAGCTAAAATGTGAAGTTGACTTTATGTCTTTAAAGACTAGAAAGAGGCGGTTCTAAACAGTCGTATCAGACTTAAAAGAATAGGCTAGCAGTGAGATACAAGGTTGTACATTATGAGTAAACGGGTTATAAAAGCAAATGATACACAGCAAGCTTCACAAAGATTAAAAGATGATAAGATATTTGTTCTAGCTGATCCTTGGGGCAAAAAAATGCCGGCCACGTCTCAGGGTAGCTCTGGCACCACCATTTCAATAGAGGACAAAAAGCACAGTAGTTTCATTTGCATAGCTGTAGAAACTCGAATACAAAATTTAGATCGCCAAAGGGTATAATCTGTATTAAGCTGAGCGCAAAAACGGAATGCCAAATTATTTGTAACTCAATATTTGACTCTGTTGAAACCGCAGCTTCAACTTTTTTAACCTTGGGAACTGACCTCCTTCAAAATGCCAGGTTCACTATTTTCAATATAAAATGACTAAAGGGGCACTATTTATCCAATTATGAATTATCACACTTTCGGTAAAATAAAACCCTGTTAATAGTGTATTTTATAGAAATCACTTACCACTTGCTTGACAGTTTGAATTTTTACCATTTTATACCATGTGTTTTCGGTAGAATTCTGCCATATTATATAACCACAGGCAACCCAGGCTAAGTGTCGAACTGGCTTCATTTCTGGAGATACATTTCCAAAACTGTCTGGTAAGGGAAACATTTATATGGTAAATGGAATTATTTTATACATACAGTGTTAATTTGAGAAATCTAAATTCTAAGTCATGTTTTAGTTTCCTTCAAATGTGTACAGAATTTAAGTAAGGCCCTTTTTTGTTGAATTAGACTAGTAATGAATATTTTTGCAAAAACCAGTATATTTCCAACATATTATTAACATCTAATAGTTTGAGCACAGATAATTAATATTGATCTTAAAGTTGAGAAAATGTTTTCCATGCCATATTTATATACCTGGAATATTTTGTGCTTCAAGTGGTTCCTTCATGGACTTGAGTCTTTGATAAAATGTGTTATCTTCTTTATCTGGATTCTTTCCAATTTCTCCTTCAAATGTGAAGTTGACTTCTGGTGCAGTATCTTGTCCCATTAGAGGGTAAAGTACTTCAGCTGTGCAGTTCAGTGTAACTTGCTGTTTGAAACATTTTGCAAAATACCTTTACATGTAAATGGCCATCCATTCCTAATTATCATTCTTGAGATAGAACATTTAAAGTGTTGGCCCCCTAACAGTGTTTCAAACTTGACTTCAGAGTTTCTATTACGGAGGTATCTAATTGGGTGTGGCCTACAGTTTTCTTGAAGGTATCTAAAATAGATAACTTATTTTATAACTTTTAAAGTATCATAATCTTATATTTCATCTTAAAACTTTATTATTTCAGTGTTAATGGGGTGTCCCATTTGTAAGGCCAGATTTTAGTCTGACTTTATGTACTACCTCTGGACTTTGGTTACTTTTTAAGTCTATTACTCTACCATCTGCTTCTGAAATAACAGACATATTCTCAAGCCCAGATAAATTAATTTGTATCTAGATGTAAAATTAGAAAATAGTAGCATTGGTTCTTTGAAAGATGGCTGTCTAGTAGCTCAGATAATCTTTTAATAAATCTCTTGTTAGCCTGTGTGTCTTCTGAATTATGGTCAACAAAAGGCAAGCTTTTTTTTTAAATTTTAAGATGGTTATGGTACAGACTGCAGTTCCTTTTTTTTTTTTTTTTTAAAGTTTGTCTTAATAATTTGGCAAGTATGTTATATTTAAAAATTTCCCTGCCCCATTACTGAAAGATTCCTGTGAACATGTTGGTATCATTTGGTCATTTTATTGCTCATAAATATCTAAAAGCACTGGCTTTCTTTAAATGAAAGAAATCAAAAACAGAATGAGAAGGGCAGACCTAAGAAAGTAATGACTAGAGAGTAAATTACTTCATTTGTCATATTAGGCATAAATTCAGACTGCCCTAAGAATATATAACATTTTTAAGGGAATTTATTTGAACTGAAATGTGTAGTCTTTTCTAAATAGCTCAGTAGAATTACTTCATGTATCGATACATTTTTAAAAGAGTATAATCTGACCCTTGTATGTTCATTATTTTTTTTCAAGGCAGGGATTTCACAACTTTAAAAAAAAATACAAGTTAATCCTATGACTTGATCAGCAAAGGTGATCTAAAATATTTATAGAGTCAAATTCTTTTTCATAATAAAAGACATTTCACTTACTTTTTGGATAATTTCTTCCACAGAAAATTTAAGGCAATACTTGTGTCCTCTTCCCGGAATATCCTATTAAGAAAATGTAGTGAGTTATTACAAGAACTCGGTTCTTTGTGTTGTTAGAAAAATACACTCTCATTTGGTTGGGGCAGAGGGCTGACTGGTGAGGATAAATGGTTAAAGCCCTAAGGCTTTACCTTGAAAAAGGCATGTCACCATGTACGTAACATCTAATTCAAGAGGTCCTTTATGAGATTTATTTTGGATGAGAACAGAAGAGTGGGATAAAAGCATATATAAAATGGGTTATAATTCACTTTCAATCATTAGAGGACTTCAACCTCTGGATCTGTGATCCTGAATTCTCTACAAAAGAAATTGTGAAACACCTTTTGATTCTAAGACAAAAAAACAGGATATACCTTTGAAAACATTTTCAAAAAGCCCTGTGTACCCTCCAAACACTGTTCAATGAAGGTGAATTCCATTTGGGGGCAGATTACTGGGAAGTGGTTAGAGATGTTAAGTACTGTTTTTACTTGTCCGTTAGTAGACCTGCAAAATGATACTTTTAACAAATTTTATAACCATAAGACAATTGTTTAGGTATTTCACTTTTGAATCAAGATACAATTAAGAGTGTACACCTAATTATCTGGTGCAGTTTTGAAGTAACATCTACTCCCTGTCAGCTCTCACAGACTGTTAGTTAAATTTATGTCCGATAACCAAGCCACAATCTCAAATCTTATATTTTAGTAAAATGGAAACAAGCCTGGTTAGTGACAGCTGTAGCCTTAAGCATTTAATTTAACCCTTTGCCAGAGGGAGCATATCTTTTACAGGAGTCAGTGGTAGTGGTGTTTGGGTAGTTAAGGCAGAGCTTAAGCCCACAATACTTTTGTTTTCTGACTTTGGTTGTCAGTTTGTCTTACTGTTTGCTTACCCCTTCATTTTGGTTAAAGGGTCTGATAAAGATTGTAAAATTCAGGCAAAGAAGTATCGTTTGGAAGACGGGAGCTTTTGTTGGTTCAGATTGGAGTAGATGAGAAACGTAGTAGGAGTTTTGAGATGCTTTTGAATGGTTCTACAGGTTTGTCAGAAAAGGGTAAAATGCCACCCCGCATTTAGAACATTTTCCCATTTCTTTGTAATAGTGCCCATTAAAAACTGTCTCTGTCTCTGGCTTTCCAAGAAAAAACAAACAGCCCTGGCTGTCCCAGAGTGTCAGCTATCCCCAGGAATGTTAACTTCCCTAGACCTGACGTCAACAGCGAGTCCCAAAACAGGCAAGGGTGGAGTGGAAGGGAAGTCGCGCTAAGAACGAGGCTGAGACCCTTGGGAGCTGGAGGGCAAGCAAGTAGGTGCCGGCTCCCGCCCACTGCCCTCGCCGGACTCACCTCCATGCTGGCTTGTTTGATAGTCTGCACCAGAAACACCTTGTGGGGGGTCCCCTGCTGGTAGTTGATGCAGTTCTCCGCCACCGAGGCTGCCCTGGAGGCTGGGAAGTGGGTCGGGGGGATTTCCATTCTTGGTGGGAGCTTACGGCTGCTCACGTTGAAGGGGACCAGATGGTACCAGTGCACCGCCGGCTCAGCCTCCTCCTGGGTGGCCGAGACGGAAGGGTTGTTAGAGTCGGCACGCCTAGGTCGGGCTGGCTGTAGGCGGGATCGCCAGCTCCCACCCTCCTCTCTTCCTCCTTCCCTCCTTCCGATTCAGGAAGCTGCCGCAGGGGCGCTGGCTCCCGCGGCTGCTCCTGTGGCCCCGCCCTGCTGCCGCCCACTTTACCGACTGAATCTTGCGAGGGGTGAGCCCCGGCCTTTCCGGCTGGCGGGGGTGGCGGTGTCGGGAGGGAGTCGGTGGGTTAGGTTGGCTGGAACTTCATCCTTCCCTTCATTAACCTTTACTGAAGTGCAAGGAGGGGCTTTCTGGCTTTTTCCTTTATGGAGTGCCTCCGGGGCCTGCAGTTTCCTCTCCGTGGAAGAAATCTGGTTGCTTCACATGCAGTCTGCAGCACACCTTCCTTATATATCGCGCAGTGTCAGGCACAGGGCAAAGTGCAAAGGAGCTCCCGATAGTGAGTCGGTCAGTTGGTTACTTCTTTCTCCTTCCCATTGTGAGGTGCAGAAACGCGCTTGGTTAATCCCCCTTTTTGTGGGATTGGACCAATGCTGCCCAAATCAGGGTATGAGAAATTTCAAAGGATAGCATTAATTTGGAGGATAATGTAATTTGGATCAGGAGAAATAAATACACCTGCATCCCCTCCCCCTTTACTAATCTAAGAAAAATGAGGTTTTGCTGTAAATCACGTTGAAATTTTTTTTAAAGATTTTATTTATTTATTCATGAGAGAGAGAGAGAGAGGCAGAGGGAGAAGCAGACTCCCAAGGAGCAGGGAGCCCGATGCGGGACTCATGGGATCATGACCTGAGCTGAAGGCAGACGCTTAACCATCTGAGCCACCCAGGCGCCCTCACTTTGAAATTTTTAAGAATCAAAACATATTTAAGAACTGAACTTCAAGCACTACATGAAGTAACTTCTAACAAAGACAAGAGTTTTTAAAGCTGCTTAAAGCAAGCACAAACTTTTAGTAGGCAGTGCATTTCCATTCTCCAGGTTTCTTAATTGTCTTCTCATTTTACCTTTGAAGGGACTATGATTTAGGCATTGGATTGCTCTAGATCAGGAAGCTAAGGTTCCTTTTAATCTGTATGGCCAAACCTTCCCTTTAGCTCTTTGGCTTGGAAAAATAGAGCTTCTTAGTTTTTTTTTTTTTTTCCTCAAAATGGATTTTTGAAAGTTCTTTGGGTGGGCATACGTGTTGTGCTTTAAAAAATAAACTTAAAATGTATTTATAATGTGTTCTCTTCCCCAAATACCCTTTTTAATCTAATAAAGTTTTTATTTGGACTAAGTATATTTTAAAAAAATGTAAGGAATAAGGCATTTCTGTCTTTTCTAGTTATTATTAGCCAACCAACTGTCAGGTAAGTAGAGGATGAAGGGGTTAGTTTCTCCCCTTAAGGCTTTTTCTTTAAAAGAAAAAAAAAAAAGGGTAGGTTTTTCTTTTGGGGCGTGAGAGGGTGAGTCATTCATGTATTAGCCAACCTCTTAGGTTGTCAGTGTGTGTGTGTGTGTGTGTGTGTGTGTGTGTGTGTGTGTGTGAATTGTTCGAATCATGTGTTTCTTTAATAGTGTCCAGGAAAGAGTGGCTGAGTACATTCTGATGATGCTGAAAGAGCTTTTTGCTGATAATGAAATTTTAAGTTTCACAAATAGCTAGTCAACATTTCCTGGTTATTTCCAGTTAAAGTTGTTAGAAATACAATATGTGAGCTTCCTAGATAAAGTCACTGTTTGAAGCTTTATGAATACCATCGCTGTAGGTCAAAGCTCGTTAGTAGGTTGTGACATATTAGGCGTTTACTAAAAGCACACATACTAATTTATATTCTTTTCAAAGTATAATTATTACATTAAAACATTTAACTGCCTATCTAGATGTTAAGTAAACTGCATTAAGAGAATCTTATTCCTATACTTGAGTCCTTGAAATCTTATCTACTTTATGAATGCTTTATGAATGGTTAGTCTAAAGTCTGTTATCCTCAAATTTGAATAATGTATGGGTTACCTTTAAAGTAACAAAATTATTACGGGTCCCTGGGATCAGGTAAATTATTATAATTTTATATAACTTGCATGAACATAAAAAGGTCTGTGGCTTGCAACTTTGGTACAACTATAAAATCAAAATAAATCTACAAAATAGAGAGAAAACCAATAGAGTTAATGGGGTGCCGGGGTGGCTCAGTTAAGTGTCTGCCTAGGGCTCAGGTCGTGATCTTGGGGTCCTGGGAGCAAGCCCCACATGGGGCTCCCCGCTGGGCAGGGAGTCTCCTTCTCCTTCTCCCTCTGCCCCTCCCCACCATTTGTGCTCTCTCGCACTCTCTTAATAAATTTAAAAAATCTAAAAAAAAAAAACTAACAACAACCCAACACCATTCTAATTAACATTAATTTTATCGTGAGAGGTGATGTTTTTTCAAAACGAAATTGCCTTTCCAACATGCTAGTGGTCTGATGACCAGGGCATGGGACCTTTTACCGCCAGCACTCCTGTTTGCTGCCTACCAAGCCATGTCTTAGTTCTTCTACCTTTTGTCTAAGCTACTGTAAAATCTGTCTTCATGTACCACCCTCTAACAGCTTTTCCAATGAAATCATCATTTGCAGGTTACGTCAGCTTATGTTTTTATTGGCCTTCTAGAAAAATGTTTGATGAAGAGCATTGGTTTTGGTGCAGATCCTGGCTCTGCCACTTAACTGCATCATATTTGGCCAGTTACTCTCTCATCTGTAAAATGGTGATAGAAATAGTACACTCATCATAGTTTGTGGTGAAGAACAAATAAAACGATCCATAAAAACTGCTTAGCACAAGCCTGGCACCTATGTGTTTCATTATTCAGCATCCACTTGATTATGACTCAGACCTGGCCCCTGAAATTTACTGGTCTGTGAACTGGTCCTGCCGGGCAGTCTGGAAATGTTCTCTGTGCTGCCCTGTCCTGTAGCCGCTTCCCCCATTTGACTGTTGACCACTTAAAATGTGACCAGTGCAACTGAGGAACTGAATTTTAAATTTTTTCAAAATTTTAACTTAAATGTAAACATCCCTGGTGAGTGATTACCCTAGAGATAGCACAGATGGAGCGTGTATTTGTATCAATGTTATATTATTGTCAAATTGAAAACAAAACTGTAAATGTCGCGGAGACCTTGCACATACCCACGACTTGGTCAGCAGACACGGTTGTGGAGCCCCTGCGGTCGTTCTGTGGCGCTTTGCCAGTTGTTCCCCTTCTACTTTCGTTCTCTTAGTTCTGAGAGAAAGTTCTTCTTTCAGCGGTCGTTTTCCTCAGCCCGTCCTGAATCTCTTGGCAGCTGGAAGATTATTTAAAGGCAGCTCATCAGGCACATTCACACTTAGGCTTTTTATGAAATCTGCATATTCCAAATGGCATCACCTACCAAAATGAATATTTACTAATTCCAAACCAGCACAGATCTGTAGGTAGGAACAGGCTCGTTAATGTCCATTTACTTGCAGTTACCTGAGATAATTTTGAAAGTGGCTGGCCTCTTTCATCTTGTGGTCTTGAGGAAGGTTTCGGTTTAAAGGAAGAAATGCTTTGCAGGTAGTAGATACTCATGAAATGTTTTCATCGGAAATAGTGTATGTTTACAAATGTTTAATATCTATATAAAGTGCTTATTCTATTTATGTTGCCATTCGTGGTTCGAAGTAAACACTGACCTGTCTGTATATGTGTGTATTTAAATGACTGACTGATGTTAGTCATCATTTTGCCATTACTATTTTCAGGTATTAATCCACCTGAAACTCCCTTCCCTCATCTTGCATCACTCCATAAAGTCCAGGTAGTAAACTCAGATCTGAATAAATTAACTGCAGAGCTCCTATTTTCAAGTAACTATCTTTAGTTGTAGAGATTTAAGACGAGAACAACACTGTGTCCCAGGGAAGGGAGGCATTCCAAAAGAAGGTGAGCTCTTTGGAATGTAGATTACTAGAGCACGAACCTTAGACTGACTTTTAACACTTTTACTTTTCTACTTGTGAAGTAAAGAATTGGCAGAATTAAAGAAAACCGTGGATTACTTTGGTGTTGTACCTCACCCTCACCTCCAAGTAAAAACATGAAAGAAAGAATTACTTTTTAAATAAATTTTACAGTAAAATTTTATGGCAAGGTATTCAAAGGAACAAGTAAAAATGGGGAAATGTGGTTTTTCATTTAAATCAGTAGGAATTATTTCATTTTGCTAATTAACATAACGCTATATTGGTTTTTCCCCCCCCCTCCTAAATCACTTTCAGGTTTGAATTTACACATAAAAAACAATCAGGTGGTGCAGGCCAGTTTGGAAAAGTGATCGGTGTACTGGAGCCTCTGGACCCAGAGAACTACACTAAGTTGGAGTTTTTAGATGAAACATTTGGGGCTAATGTTCCAAAGCAGTTTGTGCCTGCAGTAGAAAAGGTAACAACAAAAATAACTTTATTACATTTTTTTCAACCAGTTTATTGGGTATCAAATCATATTTCTTTTTTTCTTTAAGTTTTATTTATCTAAGTAATCTCTACACCCAGCGTGGGACTCGAACTCACGACCCCGAGATCAAGAGTCTCATTCTCTTCTGACTGAGCCAGCTAGGCGCCCCTCAGATCCTGTTTCTATCACATTGTCTTACATGGTTCATTTTAGTTACTGCCCTGCTTCTTTATCTGATTGTTAAGCTTTCCATCTGATTTAGAATCTTCGGTTCATTAGGTTGAAGAGCTATAAATATATGCTATGACAACGAGGGGGAATTCATTCTGTTTCTTTTTCTTTTTTCCAAAACAAAGCAGTAGTTCTTTCTCTAAGAGGACTTATTTGCTTTCTCATAGTCCAACCATCTCAAAATTGTAGCCAGCTTTTTAAAGACATGCACTTAGCAAGTATTTATTAAGCACTCTTCATATATAAAGCACTCTTCTAGGGGGCAGAGGGAGAGAGAGAATCTTAAGCAGGCTCTGTGCCCAGTGCAGAGCCTGATGGAGGGCTCGATCTCACAGCCCTGAGATCGTGACCTGAGCTGAAATCAAGAATTGGATGCTTAACCAACTGAGTCACTCAGGGTACCCCTCATTCTGTTTCTTAATCAGAGTTATTCTATTTCTTTTGATAAATTGAACCTACTAAGTTGCAATCAACAGTTAAAATT